GTGGCTGACTACAGGAAGCCCCTGCCCCGGGCTTCCTGGAATCAGCCGCTGATCAGTTTCAGCAGCAGCTGACTTGGGGATGCCTGGGGTTCTTAAGTTGAATCTGTATGTAAGTCAGAACTGGTGTCCAGATTCAGCCACTGTTGAAACTGATCAGTTTCAGCAGCGGCTGAATCTGGACGCCAGTTCCGACTTACATACAGATTCAACTTAAGAACAAACCTACAGTCCCTATCTTGTACGTAACCCGGGGACTGCTTGTATTCTCGTTCACCATCTCGTTTTTCTGACAGATCTATATCACCGAGGTCCTCGGGACGTTCGAGATATTCACATCAATGCGATGCGTCCAGAGCCTACTCTCCTAGACGCTCCCCGACTCACGGTTGGAGATGTGATCGTTACTATGATGACCGCCGATATCCTTGTAGCATGCGATATCCGCGATCACAATCTCCGCAAACCACTCGCTCAGCATCTCCACTTCGCGCACCTTCGCCGACGATTCCATCAGTGCCTGCGGAGGGCGCTATACCAGTTACTAATCAGGACGAGTATGAGGACAACTATACTCCAAGTAGGGAACCACAGACCCCTGAGTCTCTGGCCAACCATTCATCATCATCTCCGGACGATGCTGTCTTCCCTGGCTGAAGTGAAGACTGATCTGCACTAATTGAGAATTTAGGAAAAATACACTGGACTTAGCTAAAAGAAGCAGAGAGAAATTGATTTTAGTTTGCTGAATGGACCTCTCTCGGTAATAGAGTTGTCATGCATACTGTTGTATGGTTCACGATTTGCGGAGTTTGAAGAAATTAATTTTTCAATTAATTTCCTTCTCTGTATTTGTAAACTAGCTGAGGTTATATAGAGAGGTTTTAATTCATCTTCGATGCATCTAAAATTAGGGCCAGTTTTTATGTATAGTTCTAACCATTCATTTGGACGGCAACTTGAAATTGAGTGTTAATAGACAGATGTGTCTCTAAAGCACTAATTATTAAATGTCACTCATCTCATAAAGATTACTTTGCACTTTACTAGACTGTCATAAATTAGAGAAACTTCAGGGGTAGCAGAGTTAGTCTGTACAGGATAAACTTAAAAAAACAATAAATAGTCTGGTAGTACTTTAAAGACTAACAAAACATGTAGATGGTATCATGATTACCATCTACATGTTTTGTTAGTATATAAAGTGCTACCAGACTATTGAGGTTTTTTTAAGTTTATAAATTAGAGACACAAGGTACCTTACCCTGAGCTTTTAAGTGAATATTCTATATATAATTTAGGGCCCACTGTCAAATGATGTATAAAATAAAATATACCTGCTGTACATGCCATTTTCACCACAGGCTGAAATATACCTGCTGTAGTTCACAGGTGGTGGTAAAATAGTTTGATACATGACTTATAATGGAACTCTGTCAAAGTGGAGCATACACATTATTTTGTATTCTGTAAGAAAATCTTTCACTGCTCATCACACCTGTCTTTATACTAAGGCGTTTGTAGTTTGCTGAAGAAATACACGCATTGCGCTTAGACCGGGATGGGCAATAATTTAGGAAGAGGGGCCGCTTTGCAAATTTCTGAAGTGTCTTCAGGCTGACCCGGAAGGGGTGTGGCCTCAAGCGGAAGGGGTGGGGTTGAGAACTGCGCTGCTGGGTACAGTGACCTTATTTTCTGCAGCTAGTAAGAACAATTTAATTTAAATTATGAAACAGATTAAGCATTTTAACTTTCTCAGGTTAGGTTATCAAACTTCATTTTAAATAAAGTAAAATACTATGTCCCACACAAAAGGTTTCAATGTTTCCTTTTTATGGGAGGGTGGGGAATCCTCTTTGGGTCTGGGGTCACTGACCCATAAAAAGATCAGTTGGGGATCACAGAAGTGAGAAGCAGAATAAAACTCCTCCAGAACCCCCCAATGCTCACTGATGTGGCCCCAACTGAGACACCTAACTCCTCTGGTGCTCCAACCTCACGGGGTTAGGGAAAGGGAAGGGGGAAACTGAAGTTCAGGGTTTCCCATAGACCAGATTTACTTTTCCGGCATTCTGCAATTAGTGGACTTTATGGACCTCCTTTGGCTGTGGGGTAGGGGCAAAAATGAGGGGTACAGTGTACGAGACAGGACTGCCAGCAAGTAGAATAGGGATGGGGGGGTGCAGGATCTGAGAGGGAGCTGGGGTGCAGAAGCAGGCTGGGAGTAGGGTGTCTGGCCAGATGGAGGGAGCAGGAACAAGGGAGGGTGCAGTGTGTGGCCAAGAGGGGGCACAAGAACTAGGGAGAGTGTCAAAGCAAGCTACGGGTGCTGGGTCTTGTGGGGAAGGGAAGTGATGGCAAGTAGAATAGGGATGGGGGGGTGCAGGATCTGAGAGGGAGCTGGGGTGCAGAAGCAGGCTGGGAGTAGGGTGTCTGGCCAGATGGAGGGAGCAGGAACAAGGGAGGGTGCAGTGTGTGGCCAAGAGGGGGCACAAGAACTAGGGAGAGTGTCAAAGCAAGCTACGGGTGCTGGGTCTTGTGGGGAAGGGAAGTGATGGGATTGGAGTAGGGTGGGGAGGGGAGGTCTGGACATGAGGAGCGACCTTACCTGGCTTTGTGATCCCTTGTAGCAAC